CCGGGACCACCCCCGGGGCCGCGGGAAGACCCCCGCACCGGGGGGATGGCGGGGGGGACGCTCCTCGAGCCCCCCGCCCCGTCCCTCAATTCCAGACTGGATGTGGCCGGAGGCGCTGCTGGAACCGGAGGTGGCCCGGGACCACCGGGGATGGACACGGGACCACCGGGGATGGACACGGGACCACCGGGATGGACCGAGGGATCACCGGGATGGGCCGAGGGATCACCGGGATGGACCGAGGGATCACCGGGATGGGCCGAGGGACCACCGGGATGGACCGAGGGATCACCGGGATGGGCCGAGGGACCACCGGGATGGGCACGGATCCCCCAGGGTGGACCCCGCGACCACCGGGAGGATGCGGGATATCCCGGGATGGACCCGGGACACCCCAGGATGGACCCGGGACCCCCCGGGACAGACCCGGGATCCCCCGGGACTGACCCGGGACATCCCGGGATTGACGCGACCCCCCCAGAATGGACCGGGACCCACCGGGATGGACACGGAGCCCTCCGGGGGGACACGGGACCCCTCGGGACAACCCCGGGACCCCTCGGGACAGCCCCGGGACCACTCGGGACAGCCCCGGGACCCCTCGGGACAACCCCGGGACCCCTCGGGACAGACCCAGGACCACCCGGGACAGACCCGGGACCCCTCGGGACAACCCCGGGACCCCTCGGGACAGACCCAGGACCACCCGGGACAACCCCGGGACCCTCCGGGACAGGTCCGGGACCCCTCGGGACAGCCCCGGGACCCCTCGGGACAACCCCGGGACCCCTCGGGACAGACCCAGGACCACCCGGGACAGACCCGGGACCCCTCGGGACAGACCCAGGACCACCCGGGACAACCCCAGGACCCCTCGGGATGGCCCCGGGACCCCTCGAAACAACCCCGGGACCCCTCGAAACAACCCCGGGACCCCCCGGGATTGCCCCGGGACCCCTCGGAACAACCCCGGGACCCCCCGGGATTGCCCCGGGACCCCCCGGTCGCCCCCCGGGACGCGGAGCAGCGGCACCGGGCCATCGTGTCGTGGTTCTCGGACCACCCCCGGGCCCCGTTCGGGATCCACCGGCTGGTGGAGCTGGGCCGGGAGTTCGGCAAGAGCGCCGGGGACTGGTTCGGTCCCGCCATCGCCGCCCACCTGCTCCGGTGAGCGGCACCGGGGGGCTCGGGGGGGACCCCCGGGGGGTCCACCGGGACCCCCTCCCCACCCGCCACCCACCCGGGACCCACCGATCCCGTCCCGTTCAGGGCGGCCGTGGAATCCTGCACCGAGACCCCCGGGCTCGCCGTCTACGTGGCCCAGGATTGCACCGGTACCGGGGGGGAACCGGTTTTTGGGGGGGGGTCCCCGGTTTGGGGAGGGGTCGGGAATGAGCGGCGCCTCCCTTCCCGGTTTTTGGGGTTTTTTTGCAGTTTATAAAGAGGACGCGGCCGGGTTGGTGCGGGGCGAGCGTGACGGGGATGCGGCGGGACGCGGAGCGCCGGGAATACCGGGAGCACCGGGAGCGCCGGGACACGGGACACCGGGACCGGGAACAGCGGGAGCACCGGGACACGGGACACCGGGAACACCGGGAGCACCGGGAGCACCGGGATTGGGAATACCGGGAGCGCCAGGACACGGGACACCGGGACTGGGAACATCGGGAGCGCCGGGAATACCGGGAGGACCGGGACCGGGAACAGCGGGAGCGCCGGGATTGGGAGTACCGGGAGCTTCGGGACATGCAACACCGGGACCGGGAACATCGGGAGCGCCGGGACACGGGACACCAGGACCGGGAACATCGGGAGCACCGGGATTGGGAACATCGGGAGCACCGGGATTGGGAATACCGGGAGCGCCGGGACACGGGACACCAGGACCGGGAACACCGGGAGCACCGGGACCGGGAGCACCGGGATTGGGAATACCGGGAGCTCCGGGACACGGGACACCGGGACCGGCAACACCGGGAGCACCGGGATTGGGAATACCGGGAGCGCTGGGACACGGGACACCGGGACTGGGAACATCGGGAGCGCCGGGAATACCGGGAGCACCGGGACCGGGAACATCGGGAGCACCGGGATCGGGAGCACCGGGATTGGGAATACCGGGAGCTCCGGGACACGGGACACCGGGAGCGCCGGGATTTGCAACACCGGGACC